TATTATTGTAATAAACGATTTTTAATTAATGAAAAAAAAAAATTAAAAATACATTATGTATAATGAATTGAATTAAAAATTTTTTAATTTTACGTACTAATTTTTGTGCCTAAGTATCTTATTTAAAATTTACAAATACGTATAAATCGTAATAATGTTGTACATAACTGATAATAGATAATGTAGTGTACGTACAGTAAGTACGTACGCAAGTTAGAAATTCAAAAATTAGGGTTAGGGCGGGAGTCTTAAAGTTTTTTATACGTATCTAAATAAATATAAAAGGCTCATTTAGAGTTTTCATGGTTTTGGTCAAGTTATGGGAACCAATTGATTACGTATATATCGGTCTAAGTTAATGAAATTTGTGTATTAATGAAATTTTTAACGATACACGTATTTAAAGTTGTTAAGTATTCTAAAACTGAAATTAAGCCCCTGAAAATAAGATTTGTTTTTTTTTTGCATGTATATGTAATAATCCCCAGTGCAACTACAGGGAAGGTAACTTTAAATACAAGATTTTTAATTCAACTAATAGAAAGAACCAAGGCAATGTACGTAAAGTACAGTAAATTTTACACTTTTTGATTAAAAGCCTCAATGTTATCATCAAAGAATTAAGATTTCACATGTTCTAAAACAAGTACGTACCAGTAACGGTAAATAAAAAAAGTTTCTATTCTAAATCATTTAAATAATAATTAATTGGTTCATTTCTGCAGCAGTAATACGGTTGAAAAGTACACCGTAACACTTGTCAAATTCAATTTCACAAAGATACTGCAAGTAAAAAAAAGTATGCAGGGTTTACAAAACTTTTTGACAAGCAAATCAGAAGAAAGTACAATAGGGATAAAATTAAACCGATTGGTTCTAGATAAATTTCAAACAATTAATTAAATTTAGTAATTATTTTTGTTCTACAGAATATTATTTCCGGCAATATCTCAGATATGTGCATTATCAAAAAAAATAACCGAGATTTTAGATAACAACTATGCACATTGTAAATAACTAAAATTCAAGATAATGTAGTTTGTTAAAAGATAAAAAATTGAATTTTATAAAGTTTTCTTTTTAAATCTTATCATACATAACCGAACATACAAACACGCGATATGAAAGAATGTAATTATATTTTATATAAGATTTTATATGTCATACAAGATGGGCCCAGCCCGATGTTTTTAAAATATTATGTAGATAATTTAGATCGTGTAAAAGCGGATCTATACCACATTTTTTTTCGCTATTCCTCGAACCAACTCTAACTCTAAATCAGCTAACCTTAATTGTCAGGGAAGTGATCATCGGATAAAATGATAAGGTTCAAAAAAAAAACCTGTTATATTAATTTCTTAAGTATCTAGATCAATAAACGATATCCGATAACAAAAATGAATGAATTTAGTCATTCGTGTCAAATTTACCCAAGTTCGTGAAATAGTAAGAAAGTTTTAAGAAATTAAATCTCATTATTCAAATCACGTCGGATGACATAATCGTAATTTTCAAATTTTAAGATGTTTGTTGAAGATCTTAGAATTTTGATTTTTGTATTTTGAAAAGAATTTCGGGAATAATAAAAATGATTAATTTAATGGTTTAATGTTTTGATTTTGTAATTGTTATAGAATTCTTTAGAATTAAACGATAACCAAATATTTGATCGGATTATACCCGTCAAAGGTTAATTTCATAAAATTTGGTACACCAAAAAATTTTTTTTAAAATCATAATATCAACTATAAACATTAATATCTATTCCGTTGGTTAATTAAAATTCAAACTTTCCATTTCCAGTTTCAATAATTTCAATAAAGATAATATTAATAACATAAGAAATTTGTGTTTTGTATTAGTGTCATGTATTAGTGTCATGTATTAGTGTCATGTAGTGTCATGTGCGATTTTTATGTAACAGGACCCAAAAAAGATAATTTGATTCGGAAAATTAATTAGGAACCTGCCAAGAAACGATAGTAGGATAGGATATAAGACTTAATTCCTATAAATGTAATGATTATGTAGTACATTAAAATTATACACATGTACATATTTATCCCGAGAGCATATAATAGCATATAAGGCGTCAGTATATTTATATTTGAGTAAGTAAACTTGTCTTTGTTTTTTTTATACTTTATTTACTAAAAAAAAAAAAAATGTGTACAATTTAAGTGATACGTTAGTAATACACAAAGATAAGTATATACTAGATAACGATTTTCCGGTACAGGATAGTATATATGACCTTTTTATGTGTAATACTTCTTTAATCAGGCCAAAACACATTCTCCTTACATTTCATCCCTTAATCGTATACTTTCTTTTTATAAAAACCCCCCAAACATATCATTACAATCATTTAAAAAGTCGCGTTGGCGTTATCTTAATTCTTGTAGGTTTTATGTATAGAATGACCTTTGCACCAACTTTCTTTTAAAAAAAATCTTTATTAATTTTTTAGACGATTAATTTTTTAGTTAAAAAACTTTCAAATACAAAAGTATAAAAAAATAATAAAAAAATAATCTCTAAAAAACAATAGACTTAACGAGAAAAAAAAAAAAATGTCAATCGTAAAAAATCGTCCTCAGGCAGGAGAATATATTAAATCTGTTAAGGGTGTATCGTTTGCTTATCCGACTGGTTCTAATACCTTTCAGAAAGGAACTCTTGGAGATACAGATAGTTATGTAACAGGAAATTTAATTTTTAATTATGGAAAACCTCAACAAATTAGGAGTGTTTGCATTAACCTTAAAGGTGCCGAAAAAACAACATGGTATAAAGCTCAAGCTAGGTCAAAAGCTGTTTATGCAGGAGAACATACTGTTGTCGATCTTTTAGAAGAAGTTTGGAGATCTGATCATTCAGATGCTGGTGTTATGAATTTAGATATTCCATTCAAGATTAAACTTCCTAATAATTTACCTGATACTATTAATACTGAAATTGGTTCAGTTGAATATATTATTCGTGCTATTATTAATCGTAAAGGAAGTTTAGTATCAAATACAGTTCAAGTAGCAGAAATTAAATGTCCATTAAAAAGAACATTGGTTTTAAGTAATACTGATAACGTTCCTTCTAAATTACGTGGTGAAGCCAGATGTGGTATTGATTATCTTTTTAGTTTACCACCAAAGAAAAATTTTAATCCTGGAGCTTATGTTTCTATTCCAATGAGAATTCGTTTCTTAAAACCAGGTGTTAGTGTTGAAAGAATTGAGATTAATTTAAAAACTTGTATGGATTTTAGATGTAGTCTTCCAAGTGAAACACGTCATATTAAAGAAAAAGCTACTTCTTTATTAATTCCACGTCAAGAACTTAAATATTCTAATCCATCATCTTCTGATCAATTTGAAGGTGAATGTTTACACACTATAAATTTATTTATTCCACGTACTGTTCAACCAACATATTCCGGTCGTTATATCAGCATTAACCATCAACTTTGTATAAAATTTTGTTTATGGGGAGCTGATAATGATTTTGTATTAGAAGAAAGTGTAAGGGTTACAAATATTTTTGATCAACAAACATCTAATGGTCAATCATCATCTCATTCTAATATGTCACCAACTTATCAACGAAGTAAATCAGATGATGATATTGATGTTAAAGAAATTTATTCTGATGCTTATGTTTCAGAAGAATATGATCATAGTATAAATGGTGGAAATGGTGTAAATGGTGGTGGAATCGGAACTGCATTATACTTAAATCCTAGTGATCAAGTTGAAAAAGGTTCGGTTCTTTCAGAGCATTCGAATCCTTCTAGTCATTCTAGTCATCCATCTCAAAACTCTCTTAAAATCATTACAGACATGGAATCTCAACAAGCATACCATAAAATGCCACCTAATTCAACAAATGAAGAATTAGTACATACTAAAGTTCCTTATCACTTACAATCAAAAAGTGAAGAGTTTGTACATTATCACACGCAATCAAAAAATGAAGAGTTTGTGCATTCTAAAGTTCCTTATCAAGCGCAATCAAATGACGAATTATCTAAAGTATATAGGTCAGCAACTAATGATATAATTCATAATTATAATGATGAATTATATGAACAACAACATTATTCCTATGGTTATGGTGATGAAGATGATATGAATTCTTCATTAAGTAATGAATTATTACTACAACAACAAATGCAACGTTTAGCATTAGCTCATCATCAACAACAACAACAAATTTTCTATAGTCAACAAAATCCCATATATGTAGCACCAAATTCACCACCAGTACGTCTTAATCCTCTTCCAGCATTACCTAACATGAAAAAATCAGGAGTGATTTTATCACCTAGTCCTCGTATGGCGACCGGGAATATGGCCATGAATCTTAATGGATCTTATAAATTTCCACCACCTTATGCAGCACCACCATATGCACCTCCTTACGCACCATCTGAACGTGGTCGACCTGTTAACTATAATATTGATGAAAGACAAATGAAATCACAACAACAAGCGCATTTGATGGTCGATAAACAGAATCCTAGAAGACAACGATCTCCCACGAGACAAGTTACATCACCTACTTATGAACTCGATGATCGTTTTCATTAAGTTAATAACGTGAATTTTTTATCATTATTAATTTTTCACTGTATATAATTCATAATTTTTATGATACTTGTTCCATAATTTTTTTATTACTATCTTTGTAATTTTTTTTTTTTTCATCGTACTTATAACAATTTTTAAGAGGTTATCTATATATTATTACATATTACATAAAATATTTGCATGATTTTAGATAGGACCCAAGCGTTTTTAAAAAATAGGAAATTTGTATGTACAAATTTTTAATTTTTTAATACCTTCTTTTTTTTTTTTTTTTTTTTTTTTTTGAAAAGAAAACTATTTTTACTTTTTTTTTTTTTTTTTTATTTTTTTATATATATATTGCTTAGAGCAATTTTACTATCATGTAATATAACAGACGCATTTTATTAGATTAGCATATAGTTAAATATTAATCAAAACTTTTTTGTTTTTTATAGGTAGTTTTTTTTTTTTATTTTAATTTAGAAATTATTAGGGTTTTGATTAAAAAAGTAATAGTTTTTTTATATGAGGAATAAAATTTGCCCTAGGCATTAAAATAATAGTAACTTTTTTTTTTTACTATTATTTTATTATCATCATACGTAATCATTCATCATTATTAAATTATCATGAAAAAATACATGTAATAATATCTGTGATAATTGTAGTTTTTCTTTTATTCGATTATTGTTAAATAAATTTATAAATAAAAAAAAATTTATATAAAAAAAAAAAATTAATAACGATAAATTTTTGTATCATACGTTGAATTTTTAATAATCGAATAATATATTTGAAGGGAATTTGAGTATATCTTAATGAAAGGCAAAACAGTTCAATGATAGTACTGTACATACATACCTTATTTTCAGATCTCCTTGAGCTACATTAATTCCTTGTTAGATAATAATTGTTTTTTTTTTTTGAATGTCCCTTTTTGAGACTATGATTTACACATTGTAGTACTTAATAATAGCCTCAATTTTGGCAGTACATTTTACATTAATGAATTACCGAATCTGGAGCTATTACATGTATTAATCATTATTAAAAATATAGTTAAATGAATCATTATTAAAAAATATAGTTAAATGAATCATACGTTATTTTCTTATCCAAACAAAGTTTGCATAAATTAATTCCTAATTTGAAAAATAAAACTGATTCTATTTCATGCAAACAAAAAAAAGCGTACATGCGTACGTACAATTAGAAAACCTTTATCTTAACAGTTAAATAATAAAGGTTCTTTATAAAGAATATCATTACTAGTTTTTTTTTAAAGTTCCAAAATTGGAACTTGTGTTAATAAAAATTTTAAATTATTTTCTTCTCTAAAACTAATTAGGTCATAATTAAATTTTAAATTTCAAATTCGTCAAATTAAAGGGTCAGCTAAATTTACGTAAATCGTTTAATGATCTCCATACTGCATAAATTGTGTTCTTGATATCAATAACCTAATTGCATCAAAAAGGCACCCTAACCCAACTCCGCTTTAACGATCCCCAAATAAGGTGAATGCATAACGATAAGGCGGGTCTTTGTTCATAATTAAGGAAGGAAATCATCTCTTTGTTAATGAAATTTATGGATAATGCTGTAATGAAACCGTTTCATTGTTTTTATACTGTATTTATATATATATATTTTTTAATATAACTATCATTGTTTAAATTGCATTAAAACATCCTGATAGAGATACAAGTGCTACATTTTTTTTTAAAAAAAAAATCATTCTTTGCTTTTGATTTTCGTTCATTGGTGTTACGTAAAAAATTTAAATATATTATCTTTAGATCTTTTTTCTCGTGTAACTTTGTGTTTCAGAATTGTTTTACACTTTGGTCAAGATAACTTTGAGATAAATTTTTATACGCGAATATCAATTTTTAATAATTAAAATAAGAAATTTTCATTAATTATTACGTACTACGTACATACTCTTTGTTGAGTACTGACTAAGATGGAAAAGTTATTTATTACATAAACAGGTGATGATTATTATTTAACGGACCAAATCGTCAACTAAACCCTTAACTTTTCCGAAAAGTCAGTGTTACCGTTACTATTATAATGCTTTTCAAATTACTGTGATCAGCAAACTCCGTGTATCACACCGAGAATCTTAATTTTTTAACCAATCATATATTTGCATTTTTTTCTAGATTCAGAGCGATACGTTATATACCGATACTAATTAATCAAATCTATGTAAATAAAAAACTAGTAGTGCATATATCGACAAAATCGTTAAATTTTACTAGCGAAGACTAGTATTCAAAAAAATTGATTCACTTATATACTGTACAACTATTTTTTTCTATATAACAATCTATACATCAAACGATTGGTTTAATAATTAAATAAAAATAAAAAATAAATAAATAAATAAAATTTTGAACCTGTAACTTTGTTTAATTATATTAAATTAATCGTTTGATGTATAAAATCATTAGAAAAAAGTAGTTGGTACGTGAGATGAAACAATTTTTTGAACAGTCTTCGCTAACGATTTTGCCGATCTATGCATATCAGCAGCCCCAGTGATATGTGATCACAGTAATTTGAAAAGCAATCTAAATTTGGCCTTCGGTGATTGCTTAATTGGTGCCGAGGAGTAAATAATTTTGTGCCTAATAATAAATAATTGTCATAGGTTACGTCATTCGTCAATTTGTCAATCAGAAATTGCTTGACTTATAGTTACGTCAGACGTCAAATGACGAATAATTCGTCATTCGTCATCAAATTTGGACATAATAAGCCGGTAAATTTGGTTTATAATGTTAGTAAGATAATCAAATGTTCATGTATTTATACTGGAAATATTAATAAAATGCGCTCATTTGACGTCCCCAGGTAATTACTATCTCGGGGTTTATAAAAAAAATTTCAAAGCGATAGCTTTTTTTATTTCGGATTTTTTTTTTAGAGATTGGACAAATTTCTAATTCAAGTAAATCAATTCTTGACACTTATATTAATGTCTGATTTATGATACCCATTTTTTTTATCCTTTTTAGCTTCTTTTTTCTTATCTTTATGTCCCAATGTAATATTTTTCTCAAGTTTCTTACAAGCACTTCTCACAATTGGATTATCGATGAGAGAAGACAATTGCTCTGTATGAATTCCAGTTTTAGAGATTAAATTTAATTCAATATTATACACCTTCTTTCCAATCTTATCATGTTGATCTTCTTCAGAAACTTTGAAATGAATCAAAGGTATATCCGAATCTTCTTCAAATAGATGACATAATGTTATAAATCCTAAAAATTTTCCAATAATCTCGCATACTTTCCTTCCATCTTTCCCACCTGGTATCATTTTCTTAACTCCATAAAATACTGTAGGAGACATCTCACTCACGTTATCTTCTACTCCTCTTTTACCACTCGCATCGTCGTAGTGTCTATACATTAGACACCATGATATAATTGCCCTATCTATATGAGTTAGTCCGGGTGCATTGCATAGGGGTCCACCGGCAAGCGGCAAGTAAAATGCGTAAATAGGACGAGATTCTTTGGCTAGGTTCATTGACCAATGCGCTAGATAAACCAAACTTGGTAATAAACGTTCAAGTCGATGTGGTTTTTTTGTCATATTCGACAAATTTTCAGTTACTAAAGCGTCGGAGTCAAGCACATCATAAAAAACGGGTGGTAAAGCTTCTTTCATTATATTAACTAATTTGTTTTGATACTTATTTGTAATATGCTTATTTCCTCTTAGAAACTATCTAATTGATTTTTCTCTCTGCTCTACATTGTTACTTAGCACTTTAACTGCTGCTACTTTGGCCTTGAAATCTCCTTTTTCTTTGCATATTTCTGCCTTAGGTGCCCATATACTACTTTCTAAAGATACACTACTGCTTTTTGATTTCCTTATTTCAGACAATTTTTTGAGTTTGTCTCCTATTTTATTTTTAGATATACTAATTTCTATACTATCTTCTATAAAATATATATCTTCTATTTCTTTTTGTATATTTGGTTCTTCTGTTTCTTTAGTTGCTATACTTCTAATTATATCTTTTATAGGTTTTACACTTTGTGACTTATTTATTGCTACTATTGTTATACTTTCTACTCTCATTTCTACTTCTTTTATTTCTTCTTTCACTT